TAGGTTACAGGGAGAGTGTTGAGGGATTATATCCAGGTTATGCCCCTTGTAACATCCCTGTAACCTACTGTAACTTATAAATATATGAAAACAGAAGCGCGAAATTTACTAGAAGTTACAGGTAGGCTACAGGGGGTATAACGCGGTTATGACCTCTCAATACCCTCTCTGTAAACTACTGACGTACGCAGCTCTACATATGTCTTACGTACGAGCAAATTTTTTCCTATTTTATGGGAACAATGCCAAATAAAAATTTATTCACTTATACGAAACAACAAAATTCTTTCACATCATATCAGTAAGGTCTCAAATTAAAGGCAGATGCGCTAAGAATTGAAAAGATCTTTTGCTTGCTCCAAGGTTTTCATTTCGAATCATGGCGTTGCTACAAAACGAACTGCAGATGAAAAAACAAAAAGAAAAAAAAAAAAAAAAAAATCCTTGATTTTGCCCCTTCTGGATTTAACTTAGTCACCAACATTGAATTCACTATCTGAAATCTAACCCGAGCTTTATTTATCATTTTCATCACGATAAATTTGTGTATGGCGTCCGATCCAAAAAATTTAGGTGGGTCCCACTCTATAAATAAAATAAAGCAAAAGATGTATTACAGTTGTCCTGATTGGACACCGAACATAAATTTACGTCTGATGTCCGCACACAATAAAAACTCCTTCACCACACTGTTATTTTCTGTTTTGCCGTAAATAAAAAAAATATATAACTAAAAAAGACCGTCCTAAGATTAATTCTAGTTTAAGTTATATATGGCAGTCTGAAAGAACGAACTCAACTCAAGCTGGCAAGTGAGACATCCACCTCAGCTTATATATCTTGGCTTAACATGCACCAGCAAGGTAAGTGGAGATGACGAAAGAAGTGATGAAAGGGTGGAGTAAGAAAGCAACAAAGGAGAAGTGGAGAACACCCTCTGAAAATTAAAATAAAAAATATACAAAAAAAGAAAAACAAGCGAGCAATTAAAGTCATAAAGAAAACAATAATCATCAATTTAGAGGCTACCAAGGTCTGTGTGAGGCAGCTTATTTGGTGCGATGACGTTTTGAAAAC